ACTTTTTCTTTTTTACCTTTGCCAAGAGAAGAATAAGTGCTAAAAGAATAACTTTTTGCCCTACAATGAGTGGCATTCGTGATGAAGATTTTCAAATTAATTTAACAAAATTCAATATTCTTTAACACTACTTAGCAGTTAGCAGTTAGCAATACTTTTTAGCATTTAGTTAGCATTTAGTTAGCATTTAGCAGTTTAATTTAGGAAACTGTCCGTCGGATTTCTGTTTCGACGTAGAAAGTTTGACCTGTTTTAATAACATTATTTTTTTGTTGAAATGTGAATTTTGTGATATTGGAGATTATAAAGAAATTCGTGTTTCGCGAGTTTCTCTTCGAAGGTCAGATATTTTTAAATTCGAATGTACGGCCATATTCCCTGTAATTCTGCCTACAAAATAAATCCTGTTTCAGGATGGAGTCTTTAAAATTAACGTCGTAATGAGTTGTTAAAGACCCGTTAATCCCGCCGGTGGAAATTACTTTTATTCTAGCGTCGAAGTGTTCAATCGAATTAAACTGTCCACAGTTGATGAGAAATCTTCTTGATGAAGATTCAGAAAAATGAATGGAAATATTTCATGCGAAATTATGAATATCCGTGATTCTGGAAAAAGTCCCGTCTTGCTGTTTCTTTCGACGCAATTATATATCCAACACTCTTCCTACGTATTTTTTGAAGACGTTTTACAATTTGATGTTTCATGAAAATAATCTCCGTCCCTAACTTTGAAGATTACCTTCATCCCTTCGTTACAAACAATGATCAGTAATAACAACATATTCAAATATTAATGAAAAAGATATTTCCACTGAAGTTCCATAAAAATTTAAAAGAAAGTTAGTGTTTTGTAAAATCGGTCAGCGTTAACCCATTACCGAAAAATCACGATAAAAACGTCTGATTAACAAGGATTTTGAAATGAATATAAAGTGCCACAAAAAAATATGTAGATACCATACCAGACATGATTAGAATTCAACTACTCAAGTTAAGCCTCATTCCCCAAACCTGCAAAAAAGATTCCCAACGCTGATTCAATTAAAAGCTAAAAATACTACCCTAAAATACTTGCCACGAAGATATAGGTACGTTCATAGTACATTAAACATGATTCGGAATAAACCATCTACTAAACAACGTATCAGTCCTCGTCCCCAAACTAAACCCGACAAAAATTTCTCAAAACCGTAACCCCAAAACTTGCGCAAAACTCCGGTAGCCAGTGGTCCTGGGTCCGCCGGCCAACGCGAGTCTCTTCTCTCCCCGCGGAGAAAGGCTGCCCGATAAATCTCACGGCGGCGTGACAAGCCACTCTCGATCTCCGAGTTTTATATATACGATATTGTAAACCGTCGCGTCGCCCCGAGCCGGCCACGATAAAAACCTAATAACGCAAAGTTTCTCGAAAACTTTTCGCCCGGGCAGCTTTGAATCGGACGGCCGCGGCCGGCTCCGCTCCGGGAATCGTAAAATCCGTAATGCTCGGAATAAAAACGTCAATCGATCACCGATTTTATATCCGCGCGTTGAAAATCGCACGGGGCAAGATGGGTCGCGGGCACGGCCGTCATTAAACCACGGAATAAAATTTGAGTTACGCCACATTCGGCGCGACTCGCTCGGTGCCGGGCGCAAAGAGCGCGACGATCAGCTTCCGTGAAGGGGGGGAAAAGGCCGACGGGTACGGGAGATACCCGGGGACGATATTAACCCGGCCATAAATCCCGACGGTGGCTTACCCGCCGCGAGAACTCCCTAATTCTCGAGTCGTTTCGGTAGCCAACGATTACTTAACGGCATAATTATTACGGAATCCGAAATTTTATGGGCGCCCTCTGCGGAATCCGTGGGTCCGCGCGCTACGCGTGGCGAAATTGTTATGGGCCCGATAATTGAAGTATTAGATTGGTATGCCTGATTATATACATTTAGAAAACGGTAATTATCGAACGGCGGTTATGGGCTTCGTTTCGAATCGAAATGTGTTGTTTATCGCTTATTGAACGCTTCCGTGGACGGTGAACTTAAACGCTGTGTTAGACGACCTCGGGGTGGAGGGGCTGGGGTCGATGTTATAATTAGACCAACGATGCTTGAGCGAGTTCTTGTGGGATAGCTCGGGGACATCGAATTCCGATGGAATCTTAGTTTCTTTGATAACGGTTTAAAAATTACAATGGAACTTTACTGAAATTCGTTAACCGGTACGGTAATAATTGTTTTTTGGAATATTTGTTTGTATTTTAATGTTCACTTTGATTATTCTAGCTCACAAGGCTCAAGATTGTAGAAATTGATAAAAATGTGAATCATCAAATAAAAATGTTACGAATAAAAACGTCTTCAAGGAATTTCTTATGAAATTGCTTTTTAATTGTTGAAGACACTTTCTAATAGGATTACATTTCGCGTAACGAAAGAAAAATACGTAAAACATCTTATTTAATTGTGTAATTTATTATTCAACACGTTCGATGACGGTAAAAAGATTTCTACCAGCGTCCGGATCAACGTGCCCATTTTCGAGGAATCTGTTATGCGTGTTTAGCTTCTGCAGGAGCTTAAGCTGTCCTGTCAATAATCTCGGAACACACAATCATTCTAATTAGCACGTTAGTTCCCTGCACACACGCGCGCGATCGAATTAATTCATACTGCTCGATAAACCACTGGTAATATCTAGAACACCCGCCGTAAAATACTATAAATTGAGTTGCTACCGCGACGTTGCAGCGTCTTCGGGAGGAAGTTCTACAGTTATAGATGATTACTCGTGACAAACGAATGAGCCTTGATTGCCCCGATATAATCGGCGTCGGACAATCCCGATATGGGGGTTTAAATTGAAGCTGTTTGACTCTCGTCAATTTTCGATGCGGTTTTCAGTCGTCCCAATCGAAAGCACCTGCCGGTCGTCCCTCTGCCACGGGGTCGTCTAGTTTTCTGTGGAAAAACCGTCCCGTAGAAATGAAAAAAATGGAAATTTATTGACGAATAAAAGTGTCGCCTCATGAGAGATCAAAAGAAGTTCATTAAAACGTTGGTCAATAAAACTCTTAAGCGTCGCGGACGCGAATTTCATTCCATCGATAAAGGCTGGATCGATCTTAGGATATTTCGAATTCCACGTTGTTCGAGTCAACATCAAATGAGACGCCGCCTTTACACCTCTATTTGATCTTCCTGCCAATAGATACATCATTCTAAATATTTCTTTCGTGCTTGTTGCTCGTTATTCGTATCACGTTCACGCTACATATTAACTAACCACTGTAAAATGTTCTGTAGGATAGGCCGAGGCGAATCGTGTTATTTTCTCTTTGACAGTAAAGAAATAGAAATACTTAAACATCAGTAATAAAAAGTGAAGAAGAATGTTTTAATCTTTCCATTGCAAATGAGAAACGATGAATGATATATGTACGGAGTGGATGCGGGTTCCGAGTACCCTCTGATCCGATTCGCTTCGTTCTCTCCTACTTTATTTTTCCAAACGCTCGATACGGTGTTTAGAATCTTTGAAAAATGGCAGAGGCAGTCGCCAACCGAAAGAAAAGAGGAGAAGATTAACGCTAAAATTACCGAGCAGTCAAATTGACCTTTTCAAAATTTCCTATAGGAATTCTAAGAGTGCAGGTATTGAGATTTTAATTGACTTATAATGCGGTTTGTGTATCAATAAATCAATTTCTTCAGTAATTTCTCCGACAAGCATCCGTTATTTTCTATAAGGAAATTGAGAAAGAAGAATTCAGGAATAGATTGATTCAATTCTTTTGATAATTCCAGTGTTCAATATCGAACTCCATAATTTTGTTGCGTCAAAGCAAAGTAACAATCTATGTACTATTTATGTAGTTTAATTTCAATTGGCTTATGATCCAGTATGCATATCATTAAATCCATTGCCTCAGTAATTTCCCCGAGAAGCACACGTTACCTTTTTAATAATTGAGAAACAATAATGCAGGAATGGATCGATGTTACTTATCTGGCAATCTTAGTGTTCGGAAAGAACGTCGGATAATTCGAATGCGTGACAAATTGTTAAAAACTATAATTCGATGCATCGTGAAACAGCTGAAAATTAGTCGGAGACGATTTGAACGAGGAGCGCTGTTCCTTTTCTGCCAGTTTCCATCAACCGACATCCGCCGTCGGAACTGCAGATGATTACACATTTTCGTTTTCCAAAGGGACGCATGCAAGGATGTCAGCCGACTTCTTTTCTCGAGGACATCCGACTTGTCAGTAATTATTATAGGGAAGAAGACACCATCTGCCCCTGCATCCCACTCAAACCTGTGTGCGCACTATTAGCAGATTATTACTATTCCGATGGGTACCCATGTGTTTGGAAACGGACCGACGAACAAGAAGACACCTGCATTTTGCCAATACCATCAACCATTTTCTCTTAGCCGGTCTAATGATATAATTTAGCTAATGTCCGGCTGTAGTCTTGTAACAGAGTACCTTATTATGACTTCTTTGTTACAACGACGCGCTTCTTGTATTGGATTTCTCTTTTTCATGAACTTCTTTCAGTGAATCGTTTATCGTTTTGTTTTTATCTATAAGAAGTATTATGTTTTAATAATATGTATACGTGTCACTATTATTTTGAATTTACAGTGATTTGTCTTGAACTGGTTTCTTTTAAGCATTCGAAGATAAAATTACATACGCATCGATATAGTAAATTTCCCAAATTTTCCAAATTGTCTTAGAGGGAATCAATGTGATTTAAATGTTGTCACTGAGTTTTATCTAAACATGGAGTCTTACTTCAAACGATCGTATCAATTAATTGGGGAGATATGTTTAAGCAAATAATATGGTATAAACAGTGATTGTAAAGTGATCGGTTGTGACTGTTGAAATAAATTTTGGAGATTTAGATTTTACACAGAAAATTAGTCTACTAACAAAGTAAAGAATGAAAGAAGTTTGCAGAAATCTAGAGCAAATACACATTGAATTGTTTATCGTTGCAGGTCAAGCGGGAGTTAATCAATTGGGTGGTGTCTTTGTTAACGGGAGGCCATTACCCGATTGCGTTCGACAGAGGATCGTGCAACTCGCTTTGGTCGGCGTCAGACCCTGCGATATCTCGCGGCAGCTTCTCGTTTCCCATGGCTGTGTCTCGAAAATCTTGACAAGATTCTACGAAACGGGAAGCATCCGGCCAGGGAGCATTGGAGGAAGCAAAACGAAGGTGAGTGTCGTACAACCTCTTAGAATAACGAAGCAATTAGCCTGGATTACAATTCGCCGAATGGATTAATGGATTAATTAAAGAATTACTTAATTAATGGAGCTGCGAAGATTAACTTTATGCTTTTCAAGAGTCATCAATATCAAACGATAATCTTCTTATACGACACGAATGGTTGTGTTTTAATAAACCAATATACTTAGGAACTTTTAAGGAGATCGTGAAGCAAATATCAAGGAAAGATATAACATCCCTGAAAGTTTATTAAAAGTATTTCAAATTTCAATTTAGAATTTCAAAATCTGTCTTTGTATATATTTCATGGTGTATATATTTCGGGTTGTATATATTTCGGGTTTTTCAATACAAAAGTGGATCCGATGAATGAAATTGATAGGTATATGCTTGATATTTGTTGTGCACTATATCAAAGAAACCATATATTATATTTTCTATATCTACACTGCATTGATACATTAATTTCGTTGACAAACATCTCGAATAGATTCCAACAACCGCTACGACAAAACTTCCTTCAAAACAAATGTAACTGAACTCACTGTCTCCCAGTATCTAACGCCTCCAACTCAATCTCAATAACAACTCGCAGCATGCCAAAGAGTAAACATCAATCTTACCTAAACAAAGTAAAAACCGTCCGATCAGTCCACGAAAAGCACAAACCAGCGATCAGCCGAAAACAGAAAGTTCCGCGAAACGCGAGACAGCGAAGGGTTGTTACCCTCTTCCCGCAATTAGGGATGCGGTCGCGGAAACAGCAAAAAAATGTAATAATCGTGGGGAAGATACGTGCGTTATGGGGCGGTGACACTAGCGAGAGTGAGAAAGAAAGGAGAGACGCGGGATAAGAGAAGGAGAGAGGGCCACAGAAAAGCAGGGCCTGAGAGAGGCCGTCGGGCCCGAAGTGCGGCGCGCTGATGTGATTTTAAGTAAGGGGCTGCGTGCGGGACCGACGGTGCGCGCAATTATCCAAACACCTTGCAGCGGTGGCGCATTTGCATAATTTCATGGGTTTGCACGGTTTTCTTGGTCCGTGGCTCATATGTCGCGGGAAATTATCCGGCGGCAGGGCGTCGATTCTCTGCGAAACGGCGACCCAGGGAGAAATCACGGGTACGATGGCCGATCGTAAAGGCGATCGTTCCGCCGAAAACGAGTCGAATTAGACGCACTTAACGGTCTTTAGGCGACCCCTTACGGGAAAAGTGAATTCCGCCGTGAACGCGTGACACGCGGCCTTAACGCGTTCTTCGATTTGAATTTTAAATTCTCTTGTACGCTGGCCGCAGCCACGTTTCATTGAATTCCTCCGCCTTCGCCTGATCCCCGCGGCCCCACCTCTTCCTCGCATGTAACGATCCACTGGGGAGATTGAATCGATCATTCAATTACGACCGAGCGGATCGATGACAGTGACAATGGAATGTGGTCGCGCAGGGTTTCGGCGCTTTTGACCGCTCCGAATAATCTTCCGGCAATTTTCGGCAGCCGCTGTCGGAAAACTTTGCACGCGAAACGTACGCGATCAAGAAAGATTTGAATTTGTTTGGTTGTACCGGATGCATTGTTTTGATTGGCTGATAGGCGGTATAGTTGTTAGGTGACCGTTAACGAGTAATCACTTCAAACGTGTTTCTTTTTCAATTAGTTCCGCCAAGATTCGAAGTGTTTATCGTATTTGAGACTGTAAACTGACAAATTTGAAAGTTCATAGTATTACTATGTGAAAGAATTGTTATCGAGAGCGAAACGGGGAACATTGATTTTAAATATCAAACAACGTACACGTCGTCATCGTCGCACTCTTCAACGACATAAACGAAATACTGTTTTATCCTTTGTCGAATAATGATCCAAACGTGTTCCTTATTAAATTAGTTCCATTAAGGTTTGAAATGTTTCTAAATTGATTATATTCAAGGCTATAAACGGATACAAATTAGAAATGTCATGATACGAATATACAAAACAATTATTACCGACAATGAAACGAGAAACATCTATTCCAAGTGTCAAATAACATCCACACCGTCATCATCGCACTCCTCAACGGCAAAAACGCAAAGCTCTTTTATTTTTTGCAATTTGCAACGACGCGTTGAATCTGCACACGTCCTCGAAGCAAATTCCCCGCTCGCAGAATCGCATCATCGCGCGTCCGTGCTCCGTTTTCCTCGCGCAGCGCCGAAGAAAATTGCAAGTTAACGAGTTTCGGCGCGTATCCAGGTTGTAGAGCGCGCGAGCGTTCAATAATCAACGGCCACGGGGTGGCTAGTTGCTGGATTATCCTGCGCTCGGCTGGATCTCGCGAAACGGCGTACGAATGCGCGGCCAACAAAGAGGATGGCATGTTGTATTACCGGCGTGACGTCACTAATGACAATATAATTGCACGCCACGCTCTTACAAGGAGGATTTCTTGCGGGCTGTAACACATACAAACGCGCCCGCTCGCACGATACTCCAGGTTTCGGCTTAATGAATTTATTTTAATAACGCGGCACGTCGGCGTGCGTCGACCTCCGGTGAATTGCAACCGGACTGCACTGTCTGTCTCTCTCACTCTCTCTCTATCTCTCCGTCCTTCGTTTTCCCTGACAGAAACCTGAAAAGCATATTTAAATTCTGACTGTGCGCGGAGACGATCACGAGCGCATGTAAACGATCGTCATCAGCGGCCATTATTGCGGGCGTGTTCGTTTTGTTCCAAGCGGTATGCCAAAATAGTCAAGCCTCTAGATAATGCGTTTCTGCAGGCTCTACTGGAACGGTGTTAGCTCGATTACTTACCTGCCACGCGGCGGGACCTGGATGGATTGATACTGCGGAGCTGTCCGCCATTTTTTCAAAGTTCCCGCGCGAATCGGGCAGGAATGGCGACGCGACGCGACGGTGATTTCAACGCCTGCGAAGAACGGTCTTTCGGATCTTTCAGCAATTAACGGTTCGAGCGATGTATTTATTATAGGAATGGCACGTTTGTTGGTGGGGAATTGAAATTTAATGTTCATGGCTAATTATTAGGTGGAATTTTGTTGGGGTTGGTGTGGGTTGGAGAAATACTGTACGGAGCAAACGTGAACACGGTGTAAAACTTTATTGCAGTTAGGGTATTATTCAGTATCTTTTTTGCGGTCCATAGAAAAGGTAGTAGATAACATTATATTTTATATTGTTTGGACATTTCAAAGAGGCTAAAACGATCGAGTTATTATGGTCACTACTTTGATAGACAGAATTTTAAATTAGTGAAGTGTTATAATAAAACTCCTGATGTTTGTGTCTTTATAGTTTGTTGAATAAAAAATTTACAAATCATCTATCTACTTTATACTCTTTTCTTCAGTTTGATATTTAAGGTCACGTTCACCACACATTCGAATCGTTTTTTTACTTAGATCCAAATTTCAAGCGTAGACAAAAAATGTACCTAATTGTATAGGGAGCGTGGTTCAGGGTTCTTAATTGCACGGTGCTTTTAAATCGATCACCTTTCCCAGAATACTGCTTTTAGCTTTCTCTTCCGCTTCGGGTGACGGAAATATACCTCGAATTTTTGCCATCTAACATAAAGGAGGGGCAGTGTCCCATAAAATTATAGCTTCCTACCTTAATTATACTTCTGTGTAGACGGAATCGCTTCGTAGATCCGATCTCCACACCTAAAGGAGTTGTAGTTGGTATGTCAGACCCGATGCGCGGCAGACATTCAAAAACATTGGTCTTCACTAAAATTTATTAAAACTATACTAAACATTTCACGAAAAAACATTTTAGAAAGAAATGTCTAAAAACATAACATTTCTGTAACAATTAGAAAAAGAAAGAAACTGATAATTAACACGTTGGCTTCCACGGTAGTCACCGATGATCGGAACTCGCAAATTACTTAAAAACAATTATAATTCGCAAGATAATTAATCGAATAAAATTGCTCAGTATCATAAATAATTAAATATCAGTGTAACGTAAGAATCGTGGTACCAAATAATTGATAATTGTTTCCTTTTATTTTTGCTATAAAAGAATAAGTTATACATAAAACTCTGAAGTTTTTCGTGGCAGTCGATGCGTCAACACTAGAATTGAGCGTCTAACACAGTTAATATGTATTCCTTATAAAAATTGTAAGAATAGATTTTTTTCGGTTTCTTCGTATATTGATTATAGTGTTGAAGTGAAGCTAATTATTTTTCAATTCATCGGACATTTAATGTTTGAAGATACCAATAGTCGCGAAACAAGAAAACTGAAATCCGTCATTCTGACGGGTGCCGTTGTTCCAGTGCTAACATAGAACAAAATATTTTTCTTTAATTTTCTCTGCAACTGCGTGGCAAGTTTCACGAACATCGATCACACAACTGTCCTAAAATTCATCGTTTACGAACGGCAGTTCCAGAACCAACGGACACGATTCAATTTCAAATAAATTACACCGCTGGCCACGTTATAATTACCCTGGCCATGGAAGCCGCTGGGATCATCAGCTAGAGGTGATTTCTCGGGAATCGTTTTATCGATCGGATTCACTTAGTACCCTGAATCGTTATCGCACACGGGAAGCGTCACGCCAGCGAAGAGATCGCGCCTCGTTATTTCCCAATCGGTCGGTTAATTCGCGAATTAATTGCCGAACTATCGTCGATCTACACGTGTTTCCCCATGTTGCGGCGCAACGTAACGTTTTCGAAGCGTGTCCCGGCACTTTCGTCGTTATCTCCGACGTCGGCAGTATATACTGCGGCCGCGCGCCGCGATACGCGACGGATAATGGACTCCCATCACGGCAGAGAGGAAATTGTCTCATGAAAAATGTACGCCCCGTCGAAATACCGATAATAAAGTGCAACGTCGAAGCCGCGAGAAAATCGCGCAATCTTCTTCCCTTTTGTCTTTTTCTGTGTTTGTTTAACTGGCCCTTTCACAGGTGCACCGGTCCGCCTCCTTTCTCCTTCTCTCTCTTGTTCTTCCTCTCT